AAAAAAATTACTCCAAAAAACAGAAGAAAAAAAAAATTAAATTACCACGAAAAACAGAAAAATAAAAAAATTACTCTGAAAAAAAAAAAACCCCACGAAATACAGAAAAAAATTACCATGAAAAACAGAAAAAAAAAATTACTCCAAAAAACAAAAAACAAATACCACGAAAGACAGAAAAAAATTACCACGGAAAACAGAAAAATAAAAAAATTACTCCGAAAAACAAAAAAAAAAATACCACGAAATACAGAAAAAAATTACCACGAAAAACAGAAAAAATTACACCGAAAAACGGAAAAATAAAATAGTTACTCCGGAAAACAAACAAAAAAACACAAAAAACAGAAATAATTACACCAAAAAACAGAAAAATAAAAAAATTACTCCAAAAAACAGAAGAAAAAAAAATTACTCCAAAAAACAAAAAACAAATACCACGAAAGACAGAAAAAAATTACCACGAAAAACAGAAAAAATTACCACAAAAAACAGAAAAATAAAAAAATTACTCCGAAAAAAAAAAAAAATACCACGAAAGACAGAAAAAAAATTACCATGAAAAAACAGAAAAATAAAAAAATTACTCCAAAAAACAGAAAAAAAAATTACTACGAAGACAGAAAAAGAATTATCACGAAAAACAGAAAAAATCTACTCAATAAAACAGATTTTTTTTTTTATTTGTCAAGTGAATGCAATACGCTTCCATAAGTTCAAACTCTGATTTCTGGTAATTAAACGTTGGTAAAGCTTTTTAAAGTAAGTAAAGTTTTTGTCATTTTCAAAACAAAAAATCATGAAAAGTTATCATCTTTTGTGGTTTTATATCTTGAAGATGTCAGCTGTGTCTCAAGAAAAGAAAAATGTGCTCATATTTCACATGTACGACACTTCTGAGAGTTCGTCAAATGTCTCTTTTATGTCCGTTTCTGCCCCATTGAGCAGGTTTAGTGGCAGTTTTCTAGCTGTTCGACCCAAATACAGATGTTTGCAGGATATGTCTGTGACAATATGATGTGTAAATATAGTGCGGAGCTTATGTGGGCAGAGCTGAGCCCTGGAGTGCCTCTGTCACCTCGTCTCTACACACAGCGAGGCTTTAAAATAGACTGAGAGTGTCTGGATGCCACGCATGGTTCTGCTGCCATGTGTCGTCCTCCAACCAGCTTCATAATGTGAGCGTAACAGTGCAGTTGTGTGCTGGCTGCACTGAAGATCTGAGTTTATGATGCAGGAAAAGACGCCCAGTTTCACCGAATGTATATAACTAATAATATGTGTTTGATTATTTGTCTCTTTTACAGGCACCAACACTGATGATGGAGATTGGGCAGCTTTAATCGGAGGTGAGTACCTGAACTTTTGTTTGGTGTGCATCTTTAATTTGTCCAGTGAAGTCCCAATGTCCTCAAACCAGACGATAATAAAGTCCCAATGTCCTCAAACCAGACGATAATAAAGTCCCAATGTCCTCAAACCAGACGATAATAAAGTCCCAATGTCCTCAAACCAGACGATAGTAAAGTCCCAGTGTCCTCAAACAAAACGATAGTAAAGTCCCAATGTCCTCAAACGAGACGAAGACAGATCACTCCATTGAAAATCCATTTATGACCCTGATTCGACCACGACAGGTTTTTAAGATCTTTTAAGATCGGGTTTGATCCTGCAGTAAACTGAATACCATGAGCAGTGATCACATGTTTGAAAAGGTTTTTTGAATCCTTCTCCTGTCTCGATCTTTATACTCCACCTTCCAGGGATCGTCGGCTCCGTGCTGTTGCTCCTCATCTGCATCATAGCTGTGCTGCTGTGGTGTATGTCCAGGCAAAAAGGCTCATATGTCACCAACGAGACGGACGGCAACGACGAGGTGGACGACGACGACAATCGGTCCATGGGCTCTGATGCGGAGCTCCAATGCAAAGAACCTCTGAAGACCAAAGAGGACGAATAAAGACAGAAGCAAGGAAACTGTTACTGGAGTCGTCGAGGACTAAAAAGCTTTTGTGTTTGTGCGAAATCATTTTTCAATAGTAGCTGATTTCCTAAAGCACAACGCGAGTTTGCACGTTGCTGCCACCAAATGGCTGCAAGACAAAACTGACAAGTGACTCTTCACTTGGCGGCCATTTTATTGCAGTGACGTTACTGGATGAAGTTTGGGCGTCAGTTGATGAATGAAAGTCACAACATGTTTCAATGTGATTTTATTTCTAATGTCAATATTTACTCTTGTTAATGCGACGATGTGTCCGGAGAAATATCTAATTAGACATAAAACCATGCAGCTCAGTCTCCTGAAGAAGTGTTGGCGTTGTACGTTTCTGCCAACCATGAAAACGTCACAATTGCAAGTTTCGTATGTACAGTGTCATCGTTCCAAAGTCAAGTATCTGGCTTTGTCATCAGGAAGTGGAAACGGTGGATGGTGTATCACCTACAGGACATGCTTACCAAGCTGCAGACCACTGTTCAAGACCACTGGCTGTTTGTCCAGCAGCTTTTCAGTTGCCAAACGTGGGTGTTTTGTGGCAACTTGTTGCTGTACATGAAAAGTGGTTGTTTCCAGGGGGTATAGTGTCTCAGAAAACGGGTATATGAAGCTAAAACACGACCATTTTTAAACTCTTTCTAGCTGCCTTCTGTCTCTTTGTATCTCTCTGAGTCGCTTTCTCTTCCTTTGAAGTCATTTAGGCCTTGTTTACACGGATACAAATAAAAACAGATTTTTATTTATCCCGTATAATGCAAATTCCGGGTTCACACGATCAGTTGTGAAAACGATATCTCTGTTCAAAAACGGCAGCGTTTTGCTGCAGTTAGCATGCCAGGCCAGTAGGTGGCGATACGACATATGTCAAACACCACAGAAGAACGTTCTGCGCATGCACAGTGATTTGTTTTCCTCTTGGCGCTAGTGATAAAAACAACGATAAACAACATTTTAATCTAATGTAGCATAGTTAGCCGCTATGCACTTACTAATATCGGGCACAGCAGACGTCTTTGTGTGCCGATGTAGCGGTAGTTCATTTGTAAGCTTGTAAGTCGTTCCAAAAGTGCTAACAAAAACGTAAACAACACGGCATATATCCGCCATTGTTGTGAAATGTCATCGTTTTCCAAAATCTCTGTCTATCCTGTTTACACGTCTCCATAGAAATGGATATTTTTAAAAACTTTCATTCTGGAAGCCATTTTTGAAAATCTCCGTTTTCATCGAGAAAAACGCTGGTTACGTGTAAATGACAGGTGCAAAATACTCCGTTTTCAGAAATATATGGAACCGTATAAACAGGCCCTTTATGTCTCTTTGTAGCTGCCTTCTGTCTCTTTGTATCTCTTTGAGTCACTTTCTGTCTCTCCAAAGTCATTTTGAATCTCTTTGTGATCATTTTGAATCTCTCCAAAGTCATTTTGAATCTCTCCAAAGTCATTTTGAATCTCTCCGAAGTCATTTTGTGTCTCTTTGTAGCTGCCTTCTGTCTCTTTGTATCTCTTTGAGTAGCTTTCTGTCTCTCCAAAGTCATTTTGAATCTGTTTGTGGTCATTTTGAATCTCTTAATAATGATTCTGAATGTGCTTAAAGTCATTTTAACCTATTTGTAGCTGCTTTCTGTGTCTTTGAAATCATTGTGACGCTGTGTAGTCACTTTAAATCTCCTTTCTGTCTCCTTTTGGTCACTGTGAATCTCTACAGAGTTGTTTTGCATCTTTCTGTAGTAATGTTGTGTCTCTTTTCAGCTGTTTTACATCGTTTTTTATTGTTGTTTTGTGTCTGTTTGTATTGTTTTGTCATTTTGAATCTCTTCCTGGTGGGTAAAGTTCGGTCCCTGGGCCTGTTCAGTAATCCATCCATGAGCCACAGCATTGTTAAGTTTCAGTGTATCTGCAACATAATAATATGCAAATGTAACGTATCTGCGGTTTGAGACGTACAATGCCAACATTTGTTCTGGTGACTGGGTTGGTACTTACAGTCAGAGGCTGCTGCACTGTGCATCAGATCTGAATCATGAGTACCAGCCCTTTTTGTTTTTGTTGTTCCTGCCACAGTAATGTGTCATTCCTACCAGCGACATCCTGAGTGCATCACCTCATCTGAAACACTGAGAGTTTCAGATTGATCCTCCTGAGATGGTTTAAAAAAATATACAGCTTTAAAAAACTTCAGTCTATTTTTACAGAATAACAATCATTCATTTAGGGAGCACTTCCTGTTGCTTCACGTCTCCACAGATTATTCATCAGGTTTATAATCTGAATCACGTGTCACAAAGTGACTTTTCCACCAGACAAATCTTTTTCACCGCAGAACAAACTTTCTGCCAAAGAGGCTGCGAGGCCAAACTACCAGACGCTGGTAAACATTTACCGGCTGCTGGTGATTTTCCATCCTGCTTGTTGTCATATTTGCAGCAACTATGAATCAGCTGTGAGGAAAAACCTGTGTGCTGAGAGTTTGTGTGGTTATTTTCCAACCTGAATTCAACCCATGCTGATGTTTGTCTGCATTTTTTACTGTCAGAGTTTCTTTTGTCTGTTTTTCTTTCCATAAATGGACAGAAATGATGGTAAAGTTAGAGGTGAAAAGGGTTTTTAGAAGCAAAGAGAGATGAAGATGGGAAGAAAGTCAGTACTTAGTTGCAATAGTTAATTGTTTTCTACAGCTAGAAATAGAAATTTAAATGTTTGTTCACTTATTAAAACATTTTCTTTTATTTACTATCGATTTATAAGAATAAAGTTTACGCCTTTTGACACAATGGAGACTTTTATTTTGGTGTGATTTAGCTCCTTCATCATTATCAGCTCCATCTAGTGGTCAAAAGCAAGTACTGCATGCAGTAGAAAATATGACTTTTTTTCATGTGCGTGTCAATAGAGGGTTTAATTGGGCGGGGGGATTAAATAAAATAATAAAAAATGGATTTTAAACATACAAAAAAACACACTTTTACATGATTCATGTGTAAAAAGAAACAGATGTGTAGATTCATACGGAGATAAGGTGAAAATTAAAAGGTCATATACACAGCCTGTGCATCTGGACTGCACTTTCTACTGAACACTACATGTTTATTTACATTTTTGATATAAAAACTCACAAGTTAAATCTGGCTCAAAGCAGCAATGAAGATGTGTGTGCAAAAAGTAAGAGGTGGCTTTTTTTCTTTGGTAAAAGACATTTGTCTCAGACGCTGGTGCGTTCACACTGTTCTTTTCAGTCCTCCTGGACCTTCGTCAACAGTGTTCAACACCCATTTCTAATATGTTAAGTGCACATCATAGTGTTGTTTGTTGGCCTTGGACTAATTAGGTGAAATCAGCTTTACAAATTTTATTCAGATTAACTCAAACTTCAAAAATTGTTGACAAGGGATGAGTTTTTGTGTCAAGTGAACATAACGTTTTTATGTCATTTGAGAATCCGGGGCATTTGTGCAGACCAGCCCCAACAAAACAGGCTAGACGAGCCCGGCCTCACTCCGAAGTTGTCGATATCCGGCGCTTGGGCAGCGACCTCCAGCGTCAGAAACCGACGAAAAAAGGTGTCCTTTGACGTCACAATGATACGTGGCCGGTTGCTGAAAGAGTTTAGCGTCCAGCAGTGTCAGGGGGAACCCAGCAGGACAAGGACGAAATTCAAGGCGGCAAAAGTCCGAGTGGGGCAGGCGGGAGGCATGGTGGATGGGTCCGACAAGTACCGGCTTTCACCCGAGAGAGCGGTGTTCACGTCCCGTAAGATTCTAAAACCAAACCCTGTTCTTTTTTCCGAAACCCAACCACATGTGTTTCTTGTTGTACCGACGTAGTGCTTTTATTTTGAAAGAGACTGCATCCAAACTGTACATTTCCTGTGAAAACATAAGTGTATTTTGAAAACAGACAATGCATGTAACAGGCTGAAGTTGACACAGCGCCCCAGAACGTCAACAACCAACACACCCAGGGTACCTTGGACGTCATATGTGGATGTTTGGTCATGGACTTTCCACGTCCACGTATGACATGAAAGGTACCCTGGGTGTGTTGGTTGTTGATGTTTTTTTTTCCTTCAACAACAAAAAAACGTGGTTGAGTTTAGGAAAGAAAAACAGGGTTTGGCTTCAGAATCTTACAAGACACAAACACCGCTTTCTTGGGTGAAAGTCTGTGTTTGTCCCACCTGCCCCTGTTGAACTTTCGCCACCTTAACTATCGTCCTTGTCCCGCTGCGTTTCCCCCTGACGCCGCCGGGTGTCGTTAAACTATAACGGCAACCAGCTGCTTTTCATATCGACGTTAAAGGACGCCTTTTCTCGTTGGTTTCTGACGCTGAAAGTCATTGCCCAGGTGCCGGATTTCGACGACTTTGGAGTGAGACCAGGCTCCCAAAAACCATGCTGCAGGACTTCTTCTTATCCGGTACAAGTTTGTTGTTATGAAACCAGTTGACACGGCGTCCCAGAACGTCAACAGCCAAGACACCCGGGCTACCTTGGATGCTGTATGTCGACATGTGGTCATGGACTTTCCACGTCCACATACGACATGCGAGGTACCCTGGGTTTGTTGGTTGTTGGGTTGGGTTTAGGAAAAAGCAGGGTTTGTCTTAAGAATCTTACGAGACACAAACACCTCTTTCTTGGGTGAAAGTCTGTGTTTGTTGGATCCATCCACCACCCGTCCCACCTGCCCCAGTTGAACTTTCGGAACCTTAACTATCGGCGACTTTGGGCCGAAAAGTTTGTTGTTATGAAATCAGTTGACACGGCGTCCCAGAACGTCAACAGCCAAGACACCCAGGGTACCTTGGACGTCATATGTGGACGTGGAAAGTCCATGACCAAACGTGGCCATGTGACGAGGTCGGAGTGAGAATGTGTTGACAGTAGCAGTCCGTGTCCTCCATAGATAAGAGTAACATGACTTAACAAGAATAAACATGACTAAATGTAACGTGTATAAAACATTCGTACTCATCTGTTGTGGACAAAAACAAAAATGCAGAGACAAACCCGTTCTCATTCCAAGGTCGTCAGGTACTGACGCCTTGACACGCCCTGTAGCATCTCATAGCGACGCACAGGGCGACCTTTAGTGTATCCCATCCCGTTCTCACCATGAACTCGTCAAACACACCGACACAAAGAGGACAGACACACCAGAGTCAGCTGCCGAGGAGTCACGGTCCTGATGAGTAATCCTTTCGGGTAAACTGTTACCTAACAGAGATCGACTCCATCCAAGGCTTCATTTTTCGGAAGAGCACAGTGTCCTGCTGGTGCTGCCAGACTTTCATCAAAGGATGAGTTCAGTGTGTGTGTGTGTGTGTGTGTGTGTTTGGTCCTGATGGTGTCACGCTCGGCCTTTGACCTTTCAGCACCAGATTCTTTCTCCGGGCCTCCTCTGAGTCGGTGACGGTTGGTGTTTGGGATTTGTTTTTGGGGTTTGAGTCACTCTGGATTCTTATTGTGTGGACGTTACGGCGAGATGAAGTGAACCATGACGGGAAACTGAAGCAGAGGGAGGCGAAATAAGAAGTAGAAACTGTTGTCACTTTATTTAATGTTCAAGTTTAACCCAAGAAACACTTTTGTTTTTACAAACACAGCAGTTTAAACTTAACAAACGGAGCCAACAATGTTTGAAGCATTAAGTATGTTTAGATATTTCATTTCTTACAGAGAAAAACATCCAAGCCCGGCTAAATCTGGCATAAAAATACACCAAATCTCCCAAAAGCATTTGTGGGAAAATGTGTTGTGGCACAAACTCAACTTTTTATATCTGCTGTATTCCTGCTGTTGTCGTCCTCATGTTTTAACTTATTTTTCCCAAATATTCAGGCTCCTGTGTTAATGACTTAAATATATGTGAGACAGGAAGCTTCAGAACACACATTGAAACTTTAATAAGTTTAATTTTCAGCTGTTTGAAAGCGTGACAGCAAGAAAACGTCCACACTGTGGAGTCTGTAGTACTGTAATACCGCCAGTGGCCAGCAGATGGTGGTGTTGGACCTAAACAGAGCTCCACAGCTACACAGCAGCAAACTGTTAGAAAATATTCAGTTATCAATGACATATCTGATCAGTAACAATGAATAGGGGGGAATACTTTAATATAAAGTATTTCAATCTGTGATGCAGTCTTATCTGCGCCGTCTGTTACAGTAACAGGACTCGTGTTACTTCGTTAAATATTTAAACACACACTCACAGCCTGAGTGGCCGGGTTAACATCATGTGTCTGTGTGTGTTTATCGGCTAATAAAACCCACAAATTCAAACCGTGTGACGCTTGTTAATGAACTGCCTTTAAATGCACACACACACACACACACACACACACACGCCAGCGCAGCCTTAAAACAGCTTAGTGGGTAAAAAAACTTCAACCAT